AAAAAAAAAAAGAGTAGTTAAACCTGAATCCGGACAGGGAAGACATTACCATTGAACACTGACCATGTGGGACAGGTCTGCTCACCAAGAGTGTTCTCTCCTCTCATATTACCCCACTGCTTGGTCAATCAAAGCCTGTTAGAAGAAGGTTTATTTGAATAGGTGCATACGGAATGTTAGAACCAATCTTCTTTCATATTACAGTGCTAAAGATCAGAGTTGGCTGCACTGAGTTACCCTAAAAATAAATGAAGGTTGCAGGGTAGTTAGGGTTTTTTCAGTCTGGTCTGGTAACAGTAGTGATGATGGGCTAAGTAACATATGTTACTAGCTTCTGTGATCAAATGCTGTGGTCACAAATCCTCAGCTTGTGCCAATGTATCTGGAATCTTCCATCCAATGTGTTAGCCAAGTTTAGAGTTGTGCAGCCTCCAAGATCATATGACATGAAGTGAATTCGGGCTGGCACAGTCATAAACTACATAAACTACTGTTTAGGATAAATGAAACCAGATATTGGGCAGATATTGACCAAAAGCGGGGGGTGGGGGGGGGAGCGGAACAAAAGGAGAAGGAGCAAGAGACAAGGAGACGGAGAAAGGGGTAGAGGAACAAAGAGCCAAAGATTTGAATCTCCAAGTGTTAAGAACCTTCATTTAAAGTCCACAAACATGCCCACGTTGCAGTAGTTTGCTATCGGCGCTTCTCTGTCTACAACTGTCCTCTCAGAGATGACCCAGTTCGAACAGCGTTCCTAGAGCTTCTTCCACCATTACTTGCTGACTTTACAAGCAATCGCTCTGTCCCTTCTTTTTCTTAGCACTCACATGCCTGAGCTTCTCTCACCTGTTAAATGTAAGTCACTTTCACACTGGCTTACTCATGCCAGGAGCACAAAAAAGAGGAAGCAATCACTCCGCTGCTGGGAGCAATGAAGATGTCACTGAATGCAGTCCCAGAAGTATCCCAGCAGCACAATCACTTATTTTTAATTCCTTTGTCTTCCAAATGCTGAGGCTATTTAGAGAGCTGACATACAGTGCTGTGTACAGTTAGTAGAGGACAGAATTTAGCTGGCAAAATTCTTGCTGCTTATTAAAAACACACCATCTATCATGAGTGCACAGGCACTTTCCAGCCCTTCGTTTACCAGATGTTAGGCAGCAGGGGTTGGACAGAATCTTCTCTTTGCTTCTTTTCCATCTGTACTACTACTGAGCCAGAGGAATGAACTTCTCCATCTGAGCAGGCTCCCACTGCATCTGGTTCTCTGACTACAGGAGGCTTTAGCAGAGTAATTTCAATTTAGCTCTACGTGGTGACCTTCATTCACCTTCAGCAAGTTCAGAAAACTGTCAGTAGTTCCACCAAGATCAACAGGGATATTCATAGTACCACTACCAACAAGAGAGAAGAGTTCACAGTCCTGTTCCAAAACCAAGCTGTTTTGTAGAAACTCACATCCTCAGCCTCTATAAATTAAGTATTCGCATTGAGAAACTTCAGTACAGTTAAGACCTTGCCCTATGGACTATTCAAATCACATTTTAAGATCAGATGCATGCTCTAATATGTGTAAACACTATTCTGAAGTTTTATTAACACTGAGGTAAATACAGGTATGTGCTACCTACATGTAGTTTCTTGTCCTGTGAGGGGATCACTAGCTTCTTCTCCAAACATGGCATAAACTGTGACTGTATATTCTGTATTTGGCAATAGTCCATCCAGTTCAAGATCTGTTGAGGCCTCCCCAATTTTTATCTAAAAATACCATGAATAAAAAATACATATTATTTCTGAATTAGCTCATGATGGGGAAGAATATTGTTTACACACTTGAAATTAGAGATGTGATGAAATGCTCTGCTGAGCATTTATCTGATACTGTGCCTGTGGTACTTGGTCCAAGATTTTGAGATTTTTGCACAATAATCAAAAGAACAAAACTGTCAAAAAGCCAAAAGCCAACATATAGGTAAGAGGACTTTAAAACTAACTAGTCACATTAGCAATGACAAAATAGTCCTCTCTAGAACACACAACTACTAAGGCTTTTTCATTCCCAGCTACACTTTGGTTCATCTTCGGTCATAGGACTGAAATTTCATAGCAGGAATTTATCTCCGTGCACATCAAGGCTCAGATTTGCTGCTATTTAAGGTGTTTATAATTTTTCTCCTCCACCTCTTCACTGAAAGCCACATTAACATGGACTGACTTATTTATTGCAAAAAAGTCTTTCTTCGGGGTAAGGCTCAGCGCTCCTGAATCAGTCAGTTTTCAGGGAGGCCCCATTTTAAAGAGAATTATGTGCTCACAGCCACTCATTTAGCAGAGAGCACAAGTCCATGCGAGATTTCAGTAGCTTCCTATACTCTCCACAAGTTTGCATGCCTCTACATGCTTTTTAATGTTCCTGCTTGAACAGAGATGTTGTACATAATCTTAACTATACATATAAGAAACTTGAGCATAAAAACTTTGAAATCCTAGACCAGAAGTTCCATTGGAACTATGCTAGCAACTTTAGAAAAGTCTACAGTTTTTACTATTTTAGTGATAGAAGACTGGACTTTACCTTATCCCACCTTCTTTTCCTTCCAAATATATCTTCTAAAAATCACTTTTGATGGAAGGCATCATTTTTAAATTTAAAAATCAAAGTTGAACAGAACTAAAAGAAAACCAATAAAGGTCACACCTGCAAATTTTATTAACTTTTTAAGGTCCTGATGAGAACAAAGGCTAAACTTCATATTCTTCTGACAACACACTTAGAAAATATCTTAATTTTACTTTATTTTTTCTTCCTTTGAGTGTTAGTTCTATATGATCATATAGTATCACCTGATATATCATTTCAAAAGAGTCACTTTAATTCAGCTGAAATTGTTGAATTTTTATGGCAATGACATATAAAAATAATCAACTGGTACTTGCACTTTATTCATAGTCCGTAACACTTACAGTATTTAAGGCACTCATGGAAAAAAAAAACCAAAGTAATTGCTAATCAAGTTGGATGTTAAAGGCCATGTATTAGTTTATTCTTTGAAAGAATTATTTTTTGAATAATTGCTATTCAAATGAAAGCACAATACATCACCTCCTTCTCATCTGCTGCGAGTCCTTCCGTGAGGGGAGCATATAGGATCATGTAACCTGTGGCTCCCGCTACTCCATTCCACTTCGCTCTCATGCTGCTCTGTGACACATCGTACAATTGCAGATCCGATGCCATTGGCAAGGCAACTACAGTGGAACAAGAGACAGACACTTCAGTTGTCTCACTTGAACAGCCAGCTATTCTTCAAACAGCTTATTTTACCCCAGGAAATTACAAGAGAATATAGCTACCTCCAGGCATAGAAGAGTTGTCTGTATGCCACAACTATGTAGAGCTGATTAGTACATAAAAGAAAGCAGAATTAGAGAAACAAGGAAATGATGACCTAACCAATTCTATGCCAGAGCAGAGTTACCCCTTACAAAGAATTTCAGCTCTTTGTCCTAAATAGCTTTGAACATTTCAAGCCAGCAGATTTCTGTTCTTTAAGCGCCAAATCACTCTGTTCAGATCTCACCCTTCCTTCTCCCTGATCTGCAGGAGGATGACCACTCACTATTGAAGAATGGGCACGGTTGCTATTAGAAACAAGTAGCAGTCCTCAGAGGTGGCTCTTTCTGGCAATAGCTCCCAAGCCAGACCGTGGGAGAGACACCATGAGGTAGGACACCCTGGAAGAAACCCTGAATGAGCACACTGTGCACGTCAAATATATTTTGACTACAAACTGTTGTGTGTTTAAGGCCTGGACTGTCCATACTGGCTCCCAGGCCTATGTCAGTGGGATTATGCAAATATGGGTGAGATCTTCCACTGCAAATCATGGCGAATGCTAACCCGGTGAGCACAACTAAGCAGGCTGAGTGAAATTCAAATATTATTAGGTTTACTTGTGAATTTAAGGCACTGATATCAGAATGTAGCATCAGTCTGGGTTCCTGAATATTTCTTTGTATTTCTGTAACTCTTTGGCGCAGCATTTTGCACTTCTCTGACTGACCTCACTTTCTTCCTCTCACAGAATAACATCCCAAGGCCTCTCCACCGCTGTTACATCATTGATGGATCCCACCAAAATATCCACTCATTGTAGAGATATAAGAGAACTTTGCCTGCTTCTTTAGAACTTCTACACTGAGAATAGTCCCTAAAATACCTCAAAGTGTCTGAAAAAAACAGAAGGCAATTGATAATTGATATCAAATCTTTGCTATTAGGAACTCGGAGAGACTGTAATAGCCTGGACATTAAGCCTCTGCAAAGCTCTGCTTTGCATGTTGCTGAAGAATCTGATCTGCAAACAGATTCAGCAACCAATTCTAATTACAATGCTAATAATTCACACAGCTTCTCTAATCTCCTTATCCAAACAAAATTGCAGCCTATGTAACTGACATCTCCAAGAAGCAATATGTCTATTACGTTATGTTCAACAAGCTCTAACAGAGCTCTTAACTTCCCATATACAAAACATGACACCTCGTCCTTTCTTGTTCATTGAGGCCATTCACTCAGTCTGTCGTTCAGGTCTGTAAATGTGGGCAAAACTTCAACCCAGGCCTCTGTCTAGATTTTCACTTCCAAGTTACTCATCTACCTTCACCTCCACAGCCTACCTCCGTCCTGTTTAGACCCTTGTTGATGTGTTGACTTACATTCCTGTGAATTCCCGCAATTCCCCTAATTATAGGCAGAAAATACCCATAAACATTTTCAAATGTACTTCAGTCTTCCCCCCCTCAGAGCTCCACTCAGACCTCTGATACCTACAGAAAGAAACTGCATGTTGATATATTCTGAAGGCACGTTCTGCCACATTGTCTCATTCCCATTCAAACTGCCCTAGGATCACAGAGAGAGTGTCCATCACCCGTCCTTTTCCTTATTTTGATTCTAAAAAACTACAAGAAAAGTATCCTCTAACTCTAACTTATGATTCTATTTTAACTCTTCCAGATACTCTGGCAATATAAATCATAATTAACAAAGAGGTAATTGGAAATTAAACAAGTAGCGTGTTCTACTGGAATTTTCAGCTGAAGAGCTCAGAATCTCAAATATAAACATCCAATAGACAATGCTGATTTGCATCTTGGACAGTTACCAGAGTATCTTAATACTCTGTTATCTTAATACTCTGGTAACATATGGATAAATTAAACCTACTAAAAAACAATTGGAATAAACTAAAACAGGTAAAAATATATTTGCAGCAAATTAAAATGTGAATGCATTTCATATTTATTTCAAGTTAGAAGTAACTATTAAATCAGAAGCCTTTCTAATTATCTGTACATTATGCATATGGAATATGTCTATTTAGATTTCACATATCTGTAAGCTGTTTTCAATGTTCTATACGAACAAATGTGATTGGTGGTTATTTTAATCTGCCAGTATCTCACACAAAGTCAGGAATGTAAACTACAATTTTCCATAGTTCTCCCTTAGGACAGTAAAAAATACTTTCAAACTGCAGGTATTTTAGGATGTGGAGTGATTAATACTTGCACATGCCAGACTATTACTTCCAACACACTCTCAAAGACAGCTGTATAAAATGCTTGATGCTGCATGACCTTGGGGTGTGATCTGATCAGATCTCAGAAAGCCAGCAGAGTCGGGCTCCGTCAGAACTTGACTAGGTGACTTCAAAGGAATACCAAGTGCAATACAAAACAATCCTGTTGGCTCAGTATGTGACTGTTCTCTCTGTCTTAATAAATTAAACAGGTCCTAACACCATGTTATGGGGTATAACATGGCTGGAGATGACATTTTGGAAGACTGAGACTAAAATGGAAGTATCAAATAATTTTATATGATCCTATTTTATTTTATTTTCAGATCAGGAAGATCAGCACTGACACAGAATCAAAGAACCATTGAGGATGAAGGGCACCTCTTCAGTGCCTAACTAACTTCCCTGTTCAGTCAGGATCAGCTAGAGCAAGTTGCTCAGAACCATATTCAGTTGGGTTTTAAGTATCTCCAAGAATGCAGACTCCACAACCTCTCTGGGCAACCTACTCCAGTGTTTGACCACCATCACAATAAAATTGGGCCTTCTGCTCAGATTTAATTTCATGTTTTTTTAATTTGTGTCCATTGACTCTTGTCCTGTCAGTGGGCGCCACTGAGAAGAATGTGGCTCCCTCTTCATTCCCTCTCATCAGGGATTTTTACACATCGATAAGGTCACCCTGAGCCTTCTCTCTTCCAGGTTGAATTGCCATCACTTAGTCTCTCCTCTTACGAAAGATGCTCCAAGCCCTTAATCATCTTTGTGGCCTTTCACTGGACTCACTCCAGTAAGTCCACGTCTCTCTTGTCCTGGGGAGCCCAGCACAGGACCAAGCATCCAAGTGCAGCCTCACACAGAGAGGGCAAGAATCACCTCCCTCAACCTGCTGGCAATCCTTTTCTAATACAGTCCACATTCTAATACAATCCTTCATTGTGACAAGGGTGCATTGCTGGTTCACAGTCAGCTTGCTGTCTACCAAGACCCTTAGGTCCTTCTTTGCAGAGCTGCCTTCCAGATGGTCACTCTCCAGTGTGTACTGATGCATGAGGTTATTCCTTCCCAGGGGCAGGACTTTGCACTTCCCTTTGTTGAACTGCATGAGGTTAAATACGTTTTCCCCTTCACATATCCATGCTGACTAATTCCAACCACCTTCTTGTCCTTCATGCATTTGGAAAAGGGTTTCAAGGATTAGTTGCCCCATCACTTTCCCAGGGATTGAGGTGACAATGACTGGTCTGTAATTCCCCAGATTCTGCTTCATGAAGGATTGACATTTGCTTTCTTCCAGTGTTCAGGAACTTCTCCCAGTCACCATGACCTATCAAGGATAATCGAGACTGTCCTCACAATGACATAAGCCAGCTCTCTCAGCACTTGCAGGTGCAGCCCATCCAGTCTCATGGACCTACGTGTGTCCAATTTGCTTAAGTGATCACTATACCAGTACCCGTCAAAAGAGGGTAAGTCTTCCTTTCTCCAGACTTCCCCACTGATGTCAGCAGCCTGGGATTTCTGAAGGCCATTTTAACTGGTAAAGACCAAGTCAAAGAAGACATTGAGTACCTCAGTGTTTTCCACTTTGTTTGTCACCAGGTCCCCTGCCCCATTCAGGAGTAGGCCCATGTTTTCTTTAGTCTTCCTTTTACTGTTTATGCACTTGTAGAGTCTGGTTTTGTTGCTCTTGACATCCCTTGCAAGATTCAGCTCCAGGTTGGCCTTGGCTTTGGAAACTTAAGCCTGCAAGATCAGACAGCAACTCTATACTTCTCTTGGGTCATCTGCCTCTTCTCCCATCTCTTATACACTCCCTTTTTATGTCTGAGTTCCATTAGGAGTTCCTTGCTTATCAATGCCAGCGTCCTGTCAACTTTGCTAGATTTCTCACTTATCAGTACGGGTCTTTCTTGAGCTTGTAGGATGTGATCTTTGGGTACCAAGCTGCTCTTCTGGATCTCTCTTCTCTCCAGTGCCATATCCCTTGGGATTCTTCCAAGCACATCTCTGAAGAGGCAGAATACTACTACCCTGAAATTCAGAGCTGCGGTCCTACTTTTTGCATTGCTTCCTCCTCTTAGAATCCTGAATTGCACCATCCCATGGTCACTGCAGCCAAGGCTACCTGTGACTTTAAATGCCCCCCGTCAGTTCTTCCTTGTTTTTAAGCATCAGCTACAGCAGAGCACCTTCTCTTGCTGGTTCCTTGATTGCTTGTGTCAGGAAGTTGTTGTCAAAGCACTGTGGAAATCTTCTAGATTGCTTAAGCCCTGCTGTGTTGTTCTTTCAGCAGATATCAGTTGTTAATAGATCACATTTTGACTTCCTGGCTCCTAGTTTGAACTAAAAAGTTGCTCTTCTCTTCCATTCCTAATATCTGTCATATTTATGAAAAAAATAACTATATTTTGTATACTAATACATAAAATTGATAAGATCAATAGCAGCACACTATCTCAGGTGCTAGCATAGTTTTCATTATAGAACCCAAATCTGTAAATGTATTCATTCTAACAATATACCAAATCACCATTTTATAGACATAAAATAACTGAATCTTTGAGAAAGGAACTTACAGAAGTTACCCTGAAATATTTGGCACTGGTGGAAATCGCATGCAAGTATTTCTGGTCCCACCTAATCCTCCACTCATAAGATCATCTTCAGCCACAAACCTAATTTATAAAGCTTGGCTCCACACCCAAAGTGTAGGAATGTTCTAATTTGGGGTTCAATAAAACTGACTTCAAAGTTCAGCCTAGAGATAAAACCTTTCTCAGTGTTTAAATATCTACAGAGCATTTGGACTTAGGAACTTAGCCCACAATTAATTCAAACATAAATTAAGGTAAATGCATTAAAAGAAGCTAAATTGAAAAAGACTCCCTTCCACAAAAAGAATGCTTACACACTGTGATTAAATGCAGTCAAATCCATAATGAACATGGTAAGGATACTTACGCGTAGTTTCAGTTCCACGGAGGCCCTCACTAGCAGCATTTGAGTATATAGCAAATACAGCTATCTGGTACTCAGTTAAAGACATTAGGTTTTTCAGAACTGCTGTTGACAAGCTTCCATCTACCACAACCTGTTTAGAAGAAAATTCAACTAAATATGCACAAAGCAAACTAATTATATTATCATCAAATCAATCAATCAATCCCTCTTTCAGGCAATTTTTCCACTGACATGTAAAAATAAATGTACTAAAGTTCAATTCATAAATCAAATTTGGTTTTGCTACCTTTACGTACAGTCAGGTGTCTGAAAAAAGAACAGCAACTATATACATAATCAAAATGTTTAGCTGATATAAGAAGCCATTTAGAACAAAGGAATTGCTTAGATAAATAAAGTGTATGGAATACACTTTAAGAGTATATTGGGTACTTTTTGATATAATTATTATATCATCATATTCCTTTACAACTAGATGTGTACATACACAGTACTTCAAATTGACATTAATTCATATCCATGCCAAACAAGTTTCTAGTACAAAAAGAAATAAAATATATCCTTAGTTTAATCCTTTTGCTCTTCTGCCTTTTCATTCAATTTTGTAAGTTGTCAGCTGAAGCCAAAAGCTTGTTCCACTGCATTTTTTCCCATCTCCAAAATGCCTAAGTCCCATTCAAATAAACACCTCTTTCCAAATTTTCAGTGACCAGTTGTAGACGTCCCAAAATATACACTCATATTATCTTCTTTTTATGAATTATTTTTTCTTAGAACTGAAAATCTAGCTTAATATCAGCTCTTACCTATTCTGATCTTATGAACAGAATGGTGCAGGGAAAGTCTATAGAATTGGTTCAGGTAACCATATGCATATGCAAAAATGCAGGCAGTTCACCCCACCCAGCAAAAGTGCTCATTGTTATAGCACATTTACTTTAATTTACTTGACAGAAAAGCAGCCTGGCTACTACCTAACCTTCGTCACCATCCAATGTGACCATATGTCTTTTCTGCAGTGGGCTTCAGAGCCTACATACAGAATTTCAGGGTAGATTTAAATAAGACCATGGATTTTCTATCTGGTTAGTTCTTGCTGTTGTATTAAAAATTTCTGGGAAGCTTTTCCTCCTATTACCTCTTCCGGTTGTCCTCCTCGAGTGGGATAGTACACAACCCTGTATTTTTCCACTTTGCCCGGTGCATGGGTCCAGCTAACCCGAAATCCTCTAGCTGTTACCTCAGATGTGACCAAATCCGAAGGAGCTCCAAGTGAAGCAACAATTGTTCCTAGGTTAGAGACAAAACAAATTTTTTATTCCCCTCTGCAAAATAATTATTTGGTTTGTTGTATTTGCTGAAACTCCAAAGATCGCTCCTCATAAGAAAATCACGTAATTGGCTACCACACGTTTATTTAGGTAATTTCCAATGGAAACAAAGAACTAATAATGAGCATTGCACATGGAGTTTTCACTGGGACTAAGTCTCCCTGGTCTTTCATAAACCTTTATATGAAACACAAAAATACAAAACTAGGCGTTCCTATCCTTCCTCCCATCACTCTTTCAAGTCCTTTCTTTCCGTTTTTGTTGTTTGGTGGTGTTTTTTTTTTTCAGGTTGCTTTTCTCCCAGTCAAGAAAAACATCCAAGTATGTATACAGCTGTGATCTCCTGTACTCCTCTGCAGGTTGGAAACCAGCATGCTGCCTGTCAGCAGACCGAAGAGATGTAGCCAATGGTCATCTCTGGCAACCATTCCTTTCCACAAAGATGTCTCATCACTCTATGATTTTTCCATCCTCTCCCTCTCAATTTCCCAACTGACTACTTACTCCACCCACAAGACAGAGCTAATAATCGGTATTTCTTCCAGTTTCCAGGTGAACAAAAGAGGAAAATGATGTAACGAAGCCTTACTAATACACACTTTTTCATTGCACAGGTACAACCACATGTGAAAGACAGCCTTCCTTACTGATATATATTACAAGCTTATTGAAAAATCACCCAGCATTTCTGTGATATTACAGAATCACAAATCAAGCAATACAAACAAAATCCACTGCAGCTTTTCAGAAAGATTTCCTCACACAGAACAGTTTCTCAGGAAAACTGCAACATTTTTTCATAGCCATTTGTTCTGTTCATAAAAGCAAAAAATATATGTATAAAAGCCTTCTCTGACTACAATAAGAACAGTTTTCTTCACCACCATCTTTTCCTATGGTCTGAAATATATTTTTTGTGTATTAAATAAGAAAGAGAAAAAAAAAAATCCATCATCAGGAAGGGACAAAGCAATCTTAATAGTTGAAAATTTTGAAAACTTTTCAGACAATAAAACTAGTAAGTTAGGAGATGGAAAGCACAGCACAAACATAACAATTTCGTGTGCAGCTGTTAAAGTAATTCATCCCCAAACCTGTATATTATTTAAAAAATTTCCTTACCCACCACTTGGAAATAGTTACAACAGAACAAATGTACATTTTTCTAATTTTTGGTACCACCAAATACCATAACATTTACCACTATCAAAGACAGAGGGCAAAAGATCAAAGATATCAAAGCAAGAATAAAACGTGCCCAGGAAGACAACTTCCCTGACAATGTACTTTCTTGTGAGCAAAAGAATAATATAGCATGCATCAAGTACCAGAAGTCGGCTTAGAAATGCAGGTATTTGCAACAGGATTTATAGCTCTAAGTTCATATTCAGTTACATTACATTTTGTTTCTTATTCACCTTTGATTTCCTTTTCTTGTTCCTCTACTCGTGAGCACACGGTTCTGGTAAGACCTTCAACAATGGTGTGCATGAAGTTAAAGTCAGCAACGTTGTAGACGTGTGTGCTGTCAGGTTCAGAGGCAATCTCTTTGAGTTCATTTATATCTGCATTCTTTACACCTTTCATTGGAAAGAAACATAAAGAAAATATTTGCAACAAAAAAGAAAATAATCTTGTATGCACAGGGATTGATAAAAAAATTACTGAAATGCAATTCTTTCTATTTGTTTTAATGACGAACTACAGATTGCTCTGTTGTCGTTACCTCAAGATGTTAATTTCTGCCAGCGTAACTGGCATTTTTTCAGCTGATCCTGATAATGTAGCATCCATGTATAATGCTAAATTCCAGTTATAGCAGCAATGAATTGGAGAACATATTAAAGAAGATTTAAATTAATGATGATACTTACTGGATACAGACAGAAATGAACATTTCCTTAATATAGAGGGCAATAGATACAAATACACTAGAGTATAATGGGACACAATATATGGATATGCCAGAATACACACCAATTGCAAACAGCTCTATGCCAGCATCTCGTAGGTTTTTAGCAGGAGGGATAACATCATCTTGGGATTTCCCATCAGTGATCAGTATACCGATTTTAGATACTCCAGGTCTTGCACCTGCTTCAGGCTTAAAGCTGTTTTCCAAAATGTAAGTTAAGGCAAGACCTAAAAAAGGAAGCATTTTAAAAGACTTTAAGATGGAAAAATATCCATTAATTTTGCTAATATCACACTGTTTGTCTTTCCACTCAATTTAAAAATCCTGGTAAATCTTCTAATGAAGAATAAGCATAAAAGAAGAATTTATCTACTGAAAAACTAAATTCCAACAAACAACGTAAACTACAGAGAAGGCGACATTCATCTTTAGCAGTCTTTTGATCAATCAATCTATTTTAAACTGGCTATAGAAACCTAAATTGATCTTCCTGTGAATGTATCATCTTTTCTTTCTTACTCTACAAAGTTAGTATAGGAAGTCCTCTTTCCTTCTACCTGCACTGCTTATATGAAAGCATATGCTCTGGATAGTGTAGTAAATGTTTATACTACATACAATCTTACTCTAATTTGTTTGTTTGTTCTTTCCAATTTACAAGCTGAAGAAAAGCTTAAGTAAAGCTTAGACAGAATCCAATTTTAATAACTGCTAATTATTTATAGGGAAGAAAGAACAATAATTCCTCAGGACAAACTTACATGTCACAATGAGATCCTATCTGAAAACTCTCTTAAACCCCCCAGAGCAAAGGTTCCTAACTCACCTTTTCTAATATCCATACAAAATAATCATGATAATTTACTACTTGCTATCTCATTCCTAGAATCATACTAGAGTCCTTCTGTCCCTTGTCCCACTGCAATCACTCCTTCTACCAAAATAAAGGCTGTTGCAGAAGACAAGGAGAACCTTTTACATTCTTTCTCCCTTCTCTTCCCTGCCAAAAAAAAAAAAAAAAAAAGCCAGGCAGTAAAAATAAAAGCTATGTCTGAGTCTTTGGATATATCATTCTTCTGGCAAGACAGCCAATAGTACTAAATGCTGCTTTGGTGATACTGGAATTGTATTCAGAGACTGTATTGTTCCAGGTTGACAGGCATCCCCCATTTATCCATCACTGTCTTCTGGGGCTTCAGTGCCCTAACTACTCAAAGGTTAATGGAAATCTAAAAGCCCCAGGTGATCATTTGAAAAGTTACTACTGCCAGTTGTCAGATATTAAAGCAATATTCTTTCCTTCTCCAGAATAAAGTGCTGTGCATGAACATTATGAATGGATTTTTCATTTTCTTCCTAGCAGGTAAAAGATTTTACTTCCAGTACAGACAGTTCATGTACACTTTGTTTTATGAGACCCTGTCCTGACCAGAAAGATTCCCAGTGAAGCCAATGAGACAAGCACTTCGGAAAAGACTTCCCTGAGATTGGACAAAGCCATTAGCAAGCTGTAAAAAGCCTATCCTTTTAACTCTTCATAATAAGCACTAACACTTCTTAGTCTGTGCAGCAGAATGTTTTTTAATAAAAGGCAAAAGCTGAAACATACACGGTACCTGTTAAAGTATTCCCTCCCTTATATGGTAGATTACGGACTGCATCCAAAACAGCATCTTTTGTGCCATAGGCATTCAAATGCCATTCAATTCGGGGATCACCACTGTACTGTGCAAGACCTAAAGAACCAGAAATTAAGGTAATCCATTAGACAATAAAGCATTTTTTTTTCAAGTATGTACATTTTATCTATTTGGTTACCAACAGCTTACCATAGTAAACTTACCATAAGTAGCTTTGCTACCATACTAGAAAAAAAAAAAAAAGAGTATAAAGTTGTTCTTAGTGACAACTCATCAATTTCTTTTCAAAGCCTTTTTGCCAAGTGCTAAGCAAAGTAAATGAGAAGTAGTACACAACTTTTTCAGAGTTTAGTAAGATTCCAAGAAATTGTTTTTTGAAAAACAATTTTATTTAATATACTTTTGAACAGACTAAAATATAAGTAGCAGAACAGAAATATTACATTTGAGCCAGTTTAAACCATGAAAAAAGCCACCTCTTGGCACATTCTTCCTCCCAAAATTAAACTGCAAGGGTTTGACCTAACGCTGACTGAAGTCAGTAAGACTGTTTCCAGTGTTTTTTCTTTTCCACTGACATTGCATTAGAGTTTACTTAAGCTGAGTATCACAGTAAACTATGAGGAATTAATACTACAAACATTCCAGCAGCATTACTCTTATGATAGAAGTGCTAGTTCCAGGTGAGGATGAATCTTGCACAAGTAAGTATCATTAAGCTGTTAACTACCCTGAAATCATGACATTTTTACATTGCTACAGAAATATTAAGAAAAAAATATGGCACCTTACCTACTCTTGTCTTCTCAGCTCCCACATTGAAAGCAGAAACCAGATTTTCCAGGAACAGTCGAACAAGTCTGAAATTGAATCTGCCAATACTCCAAGAACCATCCACCAGTATCACAATATCTGCAATTGCTGGAGTTTTACAGGTAAACAGGCTTCCTGTAAATCATTAAAATGAAAACAATATTGTTAATTACATAATTAAATTGTAACTCGACACCTGTATACCTTTGTCCTCCCACTAAGCTTAATACTTAAAGCTTTCTTCCATGGGCAAAGTGAGAAATAAGCAAAATCGCTGAATGTGTTTGTTTTAAATTCAGTAATAGAACAGTTTGGCCATTATCTACTTCACTTCTTTCATTAAGCTGTTCAAAACTACTGTTGGAAGACCGATGAAAGAAATTCTGCTTCTAAAAATACAATACTTCAGAAAGAAAAAATTAACTGTTGTATAACACAATCAAACCAGCAGTTCATTTTCATTCTCAAGAATTAAAAATACACAGTATACATTTCATGACACTTAATCTTGGGTGTAGACAAAGCAGAGAGAGCTACCTAGAGATGCAGACATCCAAAACAGTTATCAAGACCCCTTTTATATTCAATGTAGAAAGGCAGGTGTTTCTATACATCCCAAAAACTCCGTAGAAAAACTTTAGCTGCCATTGTAGACTTCTACAGTTAGAAGTGAATCTCACCCTGGGAGTCTAGACTAAAACTGAAGGTCAATTGAACATGCTGTATTAAATCTAAGTAGGAGGGACTCAACACAGCAAAGGTAAAATGCAAAGACCTCAGATTCAAATTCACAATCTATAAGAGCTAGCACCACATGAAGATTTAATCTTACAGATACATGGAAAAGTACACAAAAATAAAAGAGCATTAAAAAAGCAACAGAAAAGACATGATGAGAATTAGCAGAGATGCATATTAATAGTCTCTACAGTTTAGCTAATCAATGGAGAAATCAGAGGAAATGGGAGTAGAGATTAGACACAAATTGCAAGATAAGCCAACAAGAAGTTTTTAGGGACACATATTCTTAAGAAATTGAGAAGCCTACACAAAAGTGCCACCTTCAGTTTGAGAAAATGACAGGATGGGAAGTAAGAGAAAGGAAGAGGTTTCCATAACTTCAGACAATTGCCACATCCCACAGAAGCGGCTGCGTGACTGTAAAGGTAAGGTTGCTGAAAGTGGATTCATACTATAAGGAGGGAAAATGAATGAGTGATGTTCCACAGGTATACCAAACAAGAGCTTATGTTTGAAGTATAAAAACAGCAAACTCCCCACCAGAGTCACTACAGAATAAGGATGGAAGGAGGAAAGTCAAAGCAAAGCATGTTAGAAGAAAAGGTATCATGCATCACAAACCATTTAGGGATGAAAATCATGTCCCTGAATATGGTAAAAAAACCTGCAGATTAGTGAAGTAAGCCGCATCCCAACTTTTATCAGCAATTTTTTCAGGATCCACTACATAAATTAGTTGACAAAGTACACCAGCATCTAAGGTGGTACTAACAGGAATCATTGAGTACATTGTTAGAAGTAAATTGATCTTGAGCAGAGACACTTAGCAAATAAAAGAAGTAATTCAGTGAGAAATAATCAAGCAGGAGCTTGCATTAGCTCACAAGCAGCTCTCCTGTTACAGAGAAGGAATAAGCCACATGGTTAGCAACTTAAAACTTTAACACCATATTAGTAACGACATTCTTTTTATTAAAGACAAAATGATAGTCTCACAGGCAAAAACAATCTGATGTGCAGAAGGACTTCAAACAATTGGTAGTAATTAACAGTTAGATTCGTACTGCAGTGTAAATCCACTGAGCAAGAAATTCAATCCGTAAAGTTAGAGTTAATGTCTTAAACATGTACTAAAAAAATTTTTAGAAGAGCAGAGAACATTTCCTACGTGCAGCTAGCAGTGTAGAATAAGTTCTAAACACAGGACAAAAATTACACTTATAAAGATGCCAAAACAAATATTTTATTTTAGTTTTTACAGTACAAGACAAGGCTATTTGAATTGGCAACACATTTTAATGTATAAATGCTGGGAAACATTTAGTAAGCATCAGAAAAATGATATTAAATTGGAAGATAAATCCAAAGGAGGTCCAAATCTTTATATCACTGACGTCAATAGGAAAACTTCCCTTGATTTCAGCATTGACTGGAATCTGTTTTGTGATTTAACAGGAACTTACTGGTCATGGCAAAATTCATGTTTTAAATATCTTTGCCAAATAAACTTCCTGTTAATCAGCCTGCATTACTTGCAGTATTTGTCTTCCATTAATACACAGTTCAATTATGCCATTCTCACACTGGCCATGATCAGCTTCTTAAGCTTCAAAAGAACTACTACTGGCAAAGTAAAATGCTACACAAGCCAGTAAGAATGACAGAACTGGACCCCTGATTCACATCCAAGCAGCTGTACTATAGCACAGATGTACCTTTTCAGTCTGATCCCAGCAGTTTAATCACATAGCCCAATGAGGATAACAGGGTATGTGTGGCTGTATTCCCTTTCTCTATTTCTAAAATCTTATACTTACTATGAAACCCAGTTAGTACCCTAGGTCTTACTCATTTCATATCAACCAGTTTTGCCTATAAGGCTTCTTTAATCCTGTAGTGATGGCTTTGTGAATAAAACCTTTTATTGGTTTTAGTAAATCCATTCAGTGAAGGAAAACCCAAAGAATAAAGAAAACAATAACAGCATTCCTTTCAATATTTTATTTCCATGTCATCAGATCAGTTCAAATAGTATCATTCAATTACTTTTTCGTTAAAAAAAGCATGTGTGGTTTGATCCAAGATTGATACTGCAATGTCACAGAATGTGAAAATTTGATTCGTTCTTCGTAGATAGGAGATACTTGTTGAATCTTTTCTGCATAAAACATTTAGGTTTTGTTACTTCTGTACACCCACTATTTGCTTATGTTTTCTCCTTGTTGTACTTAATAGAATTGTAGAAAGTTCCCTAAAACGGAATAAACAACAGTGAGATTTTAAACAGAATAACATGCTGTATAGAAATCTTTAAAACCTGATAGGAACACAAACACCACATCATCCTAGTTTATAAAGTTAGTCTAAAGGACACAGTGTGTAGCAAATAATTTATGCAACCCACTGAGATTAGTCAGTTTCCATTACTAGTTCCGGCAAATGTCTTTTTCAATAATCTTTCCATACAGTCATACATGGTCATGAATTCCTGTAGGGCTTGAGGATAATTTTGAACATTTCAACTATCTAAACATAACTTTAATAGGCAATTTTCTCAAAATAATTTCTTAAAGGAGGATGACAGCATATAATTCCATATTAAAAAAAAAAACCTTCCAACACTTAGTGTTTTAGCCCACTACAAATTCAATACTGTCATCAGGTTGTGTATATTTCCCTTTTATTCAGTCAAGAAAACAGTAGTGAGAGAGAAGGTACCACTTCCCTCTGATTTATACAATACTCACCAAAGGAGGACAGTAGGGAGAAGACCAGTTATGTAATTTTGTATAATGTTTCCTAATGTTGTATAGATAGCATTATTCTACTTCAAGTGTTGCATTCCACAACAAACAGTAACAGAGCCTGTGATTTTTAGGTTAGAGAAAATGACAGAATTGCAAATATCTTAAAGTCAGAAAAAGAGCTTATTTTACACCAGCAACTGTCTTCAGTGCATCCACCTACAATGGGTGGAGGAGTTTGATGGGGAGGAAGTAAAAAATTAATGGACTTTTTCTAACAAATTTACAATCTTCCTAGCATTATTTGGCAGAAGGAACTTGCCACGCTGCCAGGAAGCTAACTGAGGAGGAAGGAGCTTGATCTGCTCATTTCTGCATGTCACAAATGAAGGCATAAGCTCAAAATTTCACCTCCAAAGACACCAGCGTACAGCTAAAGGCTACCAGCAATGTGTTAGGACAAGATATTTGCACAAAACCTGCTTCACTATTGCCAACAGTCATATCACCATCAAAAATTTTGGTTCCTTTTTTTCAGGGAAATCTTTCAAAGAATAACCAACATTGAAGGAATTTTGCATTTACCAAATGAAGTTTCCTGCCCTTGATCCCTCAAGACCCCAGACACTAAAGGTGATGCATTTGCTTGCAATTCCAATGTGCAAGTGCTATAGCACTATCAAGACCCAGGTCAGAGTTTAGCTGAGAGTGAAGCCAATGATGGCAATGGTGAAAAAAATATCGAGCCAGAATTTTCTGGGATAGCGGAAGAGTTATTGGAGCCTGCAAAACGTGATCCTTGAGGTGTCCCATTGAAGGCAATGGAGTGCAGAGTGAGGACTGGGAGGGGCTCTGGCAGTACAGGGGATGCACAGAACAAAGCAGGGTCTGCAAGCTTCTGTAAACACTGACCACCTCTCTGAGGCTGCATTTTCAACCTGTTGCTATTCTTTCACACATGCATTCAGTGAGCAAGTGAGCAATGTTAAAAACCAGAAGTTTGACTAAAAAAACCTGCCAGCCTTACATAGACACAAATACAAAACTATGATTTTTAGACAAGAGTAGTGGCTCTTTGACTCTTTGAGTTAATACTACTACACTTTGAAAGTTCTTTGAAAGGCAAAGGGAGAAGCAGCAAATACAGGCACTGCTGCCAGGGAGGACTCAATGCCTTAGAAGAACCAGTTCAATTGGCATGCAGTTATGATATATTTTGCAGAAACACATTTGATATTTTGCCTCCCCTTGGTATGAAACTGTTCTCATTTTCAAGAGCCAAAACACACACTTCTGCTAAAAGGAGTTAAGACTATAATTCTTTCTGAGTCTGCAATATGTCGTTTCTTTTCTTACTCCCTGTCACAGTGGAAAAGTCAAATAATATATGTGGAAGGAGAGGAAAAAAGTTCAAGCTGAGGTCAGTAATAATGCAGTATGAATAGAAAACTCGTTCATGGGGTAACAAAGCACAAAAGGCAAGAAGCTTGATGACAGAAGTGAGTGAAAAATACCTTGTGAGTAAAGTATGAATGACAGAGAAAAGTCAGTCCTCCACAGTGATCAACATCACCACAGCTGAGCAGAAGCACCACTAAGGACAAGGGTAATATAAATCTACATCAGCAAAATGTCACTTCTTTTTAAAAA